TATGAGTCGCAAGCGACTCGACGGCACATAACAACAACAACAACAACAACAACAACAACAACAACAATATTCTTGGTTGCCAGCTGTGTTCTTTGAGTGTTTGATATATGCTATTCCATTGTCTTCTTGCTTGCATGGTTTCTAATGAGAAATCGGCACTTAGTCTTATCTCCTCTCCCTTATAGGTTACTCTTTGTTTCTCTCTCCCTGCTTTCAGAATTCTCTCCTTATCTTTGGTTTTGGCAAATTTGACAATGACGTGCCTTCTTTCATTCTTCATTATGCCTGGAAAGTTTTCTTCTAGTAATGCTTCCACAACTTTTTCAGTGCCTTTACTTGCTTCTTCCTTTTCTGGGATTCTGGTGATGCACGTATTATTTCTTTTAATGGTATCCCACATTATTCTTAGATTTTCTTCTGTTTCTTTCTTTTTGGATCTGCTTTTTATTCATTCAGATCTGTAGTCATAATTCTGTCTTCTTTTTCATTGATTCTGTGTTCCATCTCTTCAACTCTGTTTGTATGTCCCTCTATCATGTTGACAGCATCAGAAAGCTTAGACCTCACATTTTGGATCATGGTTTCTTGTTTTTGCAGTGTATCTAGTGCCTCGTTTGTTTTATCTGCATTGTTTTGGATTGTTTTTTTAAGCTACTCCTGATTTTTGCTAGCAGTGTCCTGTCATTCATCAAATTTATTTTTCGTCCATTGAAAATATTCAATCATTGTTCTTTTAAATTCTGTGTCAGAAAGTTCCATCAGGCTTTCTGGCTTCAGGAAATTCATTGCCTCTGTGTCTTTTTTTGGGGGGTGATGCCTTTCTTTGGGCTTGTGACACAAGTGAAGTACCCTGTTACTTTCGGCGCATTGATGTGGTAGAGTTTTTCGTGTCTGAGGTGGTAGCTGGTTTTTGATTTGACATCATTGTTCCAGGAGAAGGTTGGGCAGGAACATGAGCAGATGCATGTAGGGTGTGTGCACACTCTGATCCTCGTGTGAGTGGGGAGGGGTGAAGCACACACTGATACTGGCGGGGAGGGATAAGGGGGAACCTAAATAATGAAGGAGGAAGTCTGTTGTTCCCTTTCTGAAATGGCTTCCCCCCCTCTTTGGATATGCCCATGATTTCCCTGTTGTTTTATTTAGGGGGCCCCACGTAGTCAGGCCAGAAACCAGTTACTTGTTTCCCCAAGTAACTTAATCCTCAGTGGTACATGAGTTTTTCAGGGGAGGTTGATAAATCTTATAGATTTGGTATATATGATTGTCTTCCTGGCCCAAGGGAAGTGGGGATGGTTGTGGGTGGGGCAAAACCCTGGCCCAGCCCTCCCTCGTCTGTCCTCGCAGGCTTCCTGCCAAAATAGAAATTTTTCCCTATTATTCTTTATATTAAGCTTACCTCTTCAATTAGACTTTATACTTTCTGAAGTCAACTCTTTGAACACAGCAGTTATGAGATGGGTATTTGTTAATTTTCTAAGAATTTCTGGTGAAAGATGTTGTTGTTGGTAGGTATTGTCGAGTCAAGTACAACGGATCTGAACCCTGGCCTATCCTGTGCCATGTTTGAGCTCCTTTCTGCAGTCATTGTGCCAATCCATTTCATGAAAGGCCTTCTTATTCTTCACTGACCCTCCACTTTTCCAAGCATGATGTTCCACTGCCCAAGCAATAACCCCACCTAACAATATGCCCAATGGATGTGAGATGTAGCTTCACCATCTTTGCCACGCAAAAGCACTCTGGTTGCACTTTCTTCAAGATATATTCTGTCTGTTCTTTTTGCAGTTTCTGGCATATCCAGCACTCTATTCCAAGATTACAACTCAAAGATAGAAATTCTTCTTCATCCTTTTTCATTGTACAGCTCTCAGATTCATAGGAGAAAGTCTATGCTTGAATCAGACAAACCTTAGTCTTTAAACTGACGTCATTGCTCTTGAGAACTTTGGAGAAGTCCTTGAAGCAGACTTTCATAAAGCTATACCTGTTCAGATTTCCTAACTGTTGGTACCAATAGTGTTGATTGTGGATTCAAGTCCCTGAAGGTTACTAACTCAAAGATTGCTCTCTTTAGTGGTTCAAATTCATGAGCAGCTCCATGGAAGAAAGGCAGACAGTCTCCTCTTGTATAATTTACAGCCTGAGAAATCCAATAGTCAGTTATGCGTCTATTATGACTTGATGGCAACAAAGTTTTTAGGTTTTGTTGCTAATTATCTTAGAGGAAAAATGAAATTAAAAAAATCACCCTATTTTTCTTAACTCTTGTGCTTTGGAAGCACCTTTGAGATATCCAAGGTCTCTAATAGTTTGAACTTTGAATGATTTATGATAAAAAATTTTCTAATGAAAATAAATACAATGTGCTTTGGCTCTATAATCAGGGCTTTAGAAGCAATAGATATTATACAGATTGGTCAGTTCAGTATTGGATTTTTGTTTTCTAGGAACTGACAGAACAATAAAGCATGTCACTAAGTTTCAAGAGTGAAATATCAGAAAGTCCATCCCAAAAAGGAAAGAAAAAACAAACAAACAAACAAATCCACTTTTGCCTTGTTAGATTATACTTCTCTGGTTGGCTAGGCCTTGGAAGAATACTAGAAATGTGTAAACTCTGATATTTCTCTGGTATGAGTAAGACAAATGCAGAATGTAATAGTATGATCTTAAAAAGGAACTAGATAAAGTTTCTGTGTTGAACAAGAAATCAGTGATTTCAGTATTTCTCACCTACACAGAACTCGAACTATATAAAATATTTTTATGTATTAGTTTAATTGTTATGTATTTATTGCATGCCTTTGCCTTCTAAAATATAAATTAATGAGAACAGAAACTTCAACTGCCTTTAGGCTATTGTATGATCAGAGCAAGAGAACACTACATAGTTTAAAAATAAGAATAGTGCCCATCAGGTTTGCATGCTTTTTCCATACTTATTCAGTTTGTATGCTAAGCAAATTATTCAAGAAGCTGGGCTCTATGAAGAAAACAATGTGGTGTTAGGACTGGAGGAAGAATCATCAAGAACCATCATTATGCAGAGGACTTGAAACACTTGTTGCAGAAGATCAAAGAATACAGCCTTCAATAAGGACTGCATCTCAACACCAAGAAAATAAACATCCTTGCCACTGGACTGACAGGCATCATCTCATGATGGATAGACAAAAGATTGAAACCATGAACAATTTCACCTATTTCACCTTACTTGGATACACAATCAATACACTTTGTACCAGCAGTCAAGAGATCAAGAGACATATTGAATTTATTGAGGAACAATGATAACAGTTTGAAGAATAAGATGTACCTGATTCATGTAATGGTATTTTCAGTCACTTGCTATGCATCTGAGAGATGGAAAATGACTAAAGATGACATAATAAGAACTGAAGACTTTCAACTTTGGTTTTGGAGAATAATACTGAAAATATCATGGATTGCCAAAACAACAAACAGTAAGTCTTGGAGAAGTTTCAGCCAGAATGCCCCTTGGAGGCAAAGATGATAAAGTTTTATCTTATATATTTTGGACATGTTGCTAGGAAAAGTTATTCCTTAGAGAACGACATTATGCTTGGAAAGGTGAAAGGATGGCAGAGGAGAGGAAGACTTTCAACCAAATGGATTGACACAGTGACCGCAGAAATGGCATAGAGTGTGTCAGAGATTGTGAGAATGGCACAGTATAGCGTTCAGATTTATTTTTCTTAGGGTCTTTATATTGTTATTGTTGTTGTTATGTGCCATTGAATCGACTCTGACTCATAGCAAGTTGTACTCAACTCAATGGCACTAACCGTAAATGATAACAACATTGATTCCTATATATTTAGTGCTTAGAATGGTGACTGGTACAAAAGAAGAGCTAATTAAAAATCATTTAAACAATTAAAGATAACATGCAGCTCTTTACTGGACGTAATCATTTTAAAGCTAAATGTACAATTTATTTTAAAAACACATTCCATTTTCTTCATACAGCTCTTACCAAGCATGGTGTGTGAGATGGGGAAGGTAATGGTGGGTTGTCCTGTCATCCTCCAACGGCTACAGAGGTAGGAGAGGTCTGTTCTAAGCATTTCCACTATCATCTTGTTGTCCAGAGCCAAGTAGAACTGCTGTTGGTCTATGAACTGTGAAAAGAAATATAATGGCTCTTAGTAACTTATTCTCACAACTATGAAATTATAAAGTCCTCACACATTTATATATATCACAGAGGTAACAATACCCCAAAATTTAATGTCTAATACCTCCCACTGTATCTAGTGTTCAACTATAATATACAAGTCAGTTCTCTGTATCTGTGGATGCTACAGATGTGTGTTTAACTAACTATGAAATAGTAATATTTGGGGGGAAACGAGGGGTCAAAGCAATCTCTCAAAGACTAACCAAAGTATAAAGTGTTATCTACAAACCAAATACACACTGTATTAGGTATTACAAGTAAAACATAAATTATTATAGTATAAGGGGCAATGGCTGCAGACTAAATGCAAATATTACACCATTTTATAATAAGGGATTGGAGCATCTGTAAAAGGAAAGTTATGGAAATATCAATGGTTCAAATACACCATCTGTTCCAAGAGATCTTGTTTCTAGTGTTGTTGTTGTTATGTGCCGTCAAGTCGCTTGCAACTCATAGCAACCCTATGTACAAGAGCCCTAAACTCTGCTCTATTCTGCCAACCTCACTGTCTCTTACACATCTACTTCCATTACCCCAATCACTGAATTGATTCATCTCATTGAGGGTCTTCATCTCTTGTGATGTCCCTCCAACCTGTCAAACATGATGTCCCTCTCCAAGAATTGGTCCCTCCTTGCAACATGCCCAAAGTATGTCAGAAGAAGTTTCAGAATCCTTTCCTCCAAGGGGCAGCCCAGTTTCACCCTCTCCAGGACAAATCTGCTTGTTTGCCTAGCAGTCCATGGTATACTCAACACTCTTCTCCAGCACCACAGCTCAAAGGCATCAATTCTCTTTCTATCAACCCTAGTCATTGTCCAGCTTTCTGATGCATAGCAAGCAACTGTGAAAACTATAGCCTGGATCAGGCACACCTTAGTCCCCAGCATGATGTCATTACTCTTCAGTACTCTGGAGAGGTCCCTGACAACTGACTTTCCCACTGCAATTCTTCTTTTAATTTCCTAGCTTCTAGTACCAAGAATATTGGTCGTGGATCCAAGCAAATGAAAACTGTTAACATTCTCAATCTCTTCACCATCCTTTATTATGCTGCTAATTGGCCCAGTGGTGAGAATCTTTGTTTTCTTGATGTTGAGCTTCAATCCATAATGAAGTCTGACGTCCTTGACCTTCTACAGCAAGAACTTCAGGTCCTCCTCAATTTCAACAAGCAGGGTTGTGTCATCTGCATATCGCAGTTTGTTGATGAGTCTTCCTCCAAGCCTGACGTCACATTCCTCCTCATACAGCCTAGCTTCCTGGATGATCTGTTGTGCATCCATATTGAAAAGGTATGGAGACAGAATACACCCCTGGCAGACACCCTTCCTGATTTTGAACCATGCGGTGTCTTCTTGCTCTGTTCTGATGATTGCCTCCTGGCTCAATATAGGTTTTGGATAAGCACAAATGTTCTGGGATTCCCATTCTTCTCAGAGTCAGCCAGTTTGTTGTGATCCACACAGTCAAAAGCCTTGCATAGTCAATGAAACACAGACATTCCTCTGATATATATAAAGGGGCTATTATGAGACAGCCTGCTTATATAAAGATTTACAACCTCGGAAACTTTAATTGGCAGTTCTACTCTGTCTGGAGTCTGTCCTCACTGGACACACACACATGTGTGCATGTATTTCTCCATATACAATTGTAGATATGAATCTGTGTAGCTCCCCAATTAAAACAAGCTTGGAAGGAGGAGTGGCATCCACTTCCTTAATAGCTTGCCTCTGGAAATGCTATGAACCTGGAGAGAGGATGAAAGGCACCCAGGCACGAGGACTCTCCTTCATAGGATCACTATGAGTCGCCTGCAATTCTACAGCACTTAACAACAAAAACAACAACACTCTGTCTGAGAGTGTCAGTAAGAGTCATAATTGTTTTAATGGCAACATGTTTTGACTCAGCATCCATGAATTTTGGTATTCATGCAGTTCCCGAGAACTAGTATACCACAGATATTGAGGAACAACTGTTACAATAATTTCTCATATTTTTACAGTTCACTACAGTTTATTATATTGAGTAAATCTGCTGCTAAAGATCTCTTTAAAGTGCTTAAGATCTAGGATGTCACTAGGTGAGATTAAAGTACATTTGATCCAAGCCATGACATTTCTAATTGTTTCCCATACATTTGAAAGCTGAGCAATAAATAAAGAAGATCAAAGAATTGGTATCTTTGAATTTTGGTGTTGAAGAGTATTGAAAATACCATAGGTATTCAAAAGAACAAACAATTATATCTTGGAGGAAGTGCAACTAGAGTGCTCTTTAGAGGCAAAGATGTTGAAACATTGTTTCACAAACTTTGCATATGTTGTTAGGATGTGTCTGTGTCCTTGGAAAATGACATCATGCTTAAAAAGTAGAGTCAGCCAAAAAGAGAAATACCTTAAATGAGATGGGTTGACACAGTGACTGCTACGATGGGTTTAAACACAGCAGTTCATAGGGCCTGTTCAGGATAGGGTAGGGTTTTATTCTGTTGTACATAAGGTTCTGATGAATCAGAGCTAACATGAAGTCACTTAACAACAATACAGTCTACAGAGTGTTTTCAAATATATACCTTCATTTCCTCCTATCACAACTCAGTGAGGACATTTCTTCCTTTAATATATGGAAAAGTAAATGAAGATAAATTAATGGATTAGCAAATTCAAATGGACAGCAAATGTGAAAGCCAGGAATGGCATTTATGGTCCTTCATCTGTAATTTAACTGCACTATTTCAAATGTAAGGTAGAAAATAGGATTTCCAACTCTCTTTGCGGAAAAGTTTGTCTTCCCCATACATATGCATATCAAGGCTTGCTATATTGTGTTTAAAGGTACTCTGGTGTTGTCGTGGTAAAGAGTTGTGTGGTCAACCCAAAAGAACATGGTTCTAATACACCAGCTGCTTTATGGGAGAAACAAGAGCAATCAGTCCCCATGAAATTTACAGAGCTGAGTCCACTCCAACTCAATGGTACTTAACAACAGCAACATACTCTAGCTAATAAACACCAAAGTAGCAATGTATATAAATATGGCTTTAAAATATGTTGTTGTTAAGTGCTGTCAGTCACCTGAGATTCATAGTGACCCTATGCACAACAGCTCTGAATTCTGCCCTATCCTGAGCCCATCTCTCTGATTCAGACACATCTATACCAATTACCCCAGTTACTGTGTCAATTTAACTCATTTGGGATCTTCCTTCTCTGCACTGTCCCTCCACTCTCCCTTTCAAGCATGATGTCCTTCTGACGAACTGGTCTTTCCTGGCAATATGCCCAATGTCTGTAAGACAGAGCTTCAAAACCCTTGCCTTCAAGGCAAGGGTGAGGAAAAAAAATCATTGGAGAAGCTCAATATCAGCTGTTAAAATTAGGTAAGGTGCTGACTGTGGAACACATGCAGTTCAAACTGAAACTAAAGAAAATGACATAAAATACAGAGAACCAAAGTTTGAACTTGAGTCTATATCACCTGAATTTTAAAACCATCTCAGGAACCAGGTTTGAGACCTTGAACACTAATGAGTGAAGGCCAGATGAGTTCTGACAGGCTATCAAGAATATCATCCATGAAGAATGCAAAAGACCATTCATTGTAAAGACAGAGGAAGAAGACAAGACTAAAACGGATGTCAGAAGAGACTCAGAATATTGCACTGGAGTACAGAGAAGCCAAACTGTTGTTGTTTTTATGTGCCATTGAGTCACTTATTACTCATAGTGACCCTATGTATAACAGCCCTAAGCTCTGCTCTGTCCTGTGACAATCTCACTGTCTCTGATAAACCCATCCAGATTACCCCAGTCACTGCATCAATCCACCTCATAGAGCGTCTTCCCCTCTTGCGCCATCCCTCCACCTTCCCAAGCATGATGTCCCTCTCCAAGAACCAATCCCTCCTTACAACATGTTCAAAGCATGTTAGATGGAGCCTCAGAATCCTTGCCTAGAAGGAGCCACCCGGCTTAACCCTTTCCAGGACAAATCTGTTTGTTTTCCTAGCAGTCCATGGTATTCTCAATACTCTTCTCCAGCACCACAGCTCAATTGCATCAATTCTCCTTCTATCATCCCAGTCATTGTCCAACTCTCTGATGCATAACAAGTGATTGCAAAGACCATGGACTGTATCAGATGCACCTTAGTCTCCAGAGAGACACCATTGCTCTTCAGTACTTTGGAGAGGTCTCTAACAGCAGACTTTCCCATTGCAGTATGTCTTAATTTCCTGGCTGTTAGTGCCAAGAATGTTGACTGTGGAGCCAAGCAGACTGAAGTTGTTGACATTCTCAATCTCTTCACCATCCATCCTGATGCTGCCAATTGGTCCAGTGGTGAGAATCTTTGTCTTCTTGATATTAAGCCTCAATCCACATGAAAGGCTGTAGTCCTTGACCCTCTGCAACAAGCACTTCAGGTCCTCCTCAGTTTCAGCAAGCAGGGTTGTGTCATCTGCATAATGCAGATTGTTGATAGCTCTTCCACCAATCCTGACGCCACATTTCTCCTCATAGAGCACAGCCTCCGGGAGAATCTATTCTGCATACAGATTGAAAAGGTACGAGACAGGACACATCCCTGACATACACTCTTCCCAATTTTTAACCATTCAGTGTCTCCTTGCTCTGTTCTGATGACTGCCTCTTGGTCCAAGTATAGATTTCGCATTAGAACAATCAAGTGTTCTGGGATTCCCATTCTTCTCAGAGTCAGCCACAGTTTGTTATGATCCACACAGTCAAACGCCTTTGCATAATTCATAAACACAGATAAACATTCCTGTGGTATTCCTTGCTTTCAGCTAAGATCCATCTAACATTAGCTCCAATATTCCTAGTACCATAATCCCTTCTAAACCTCGTCTGGACTTCTGGAAGTTCTCTGCTGATGTGCTGTTTCAGTCATTTTTGGATAATCTTCAGT